GGCCCCGAGACTAGGTTCGGTGTATATGGCTATATACGACCCTTGCCCTCGGGCTCGGGGAGTATATAAGCCATATACACCTCACCGGTGTGGTATATCATATACATATATAATAAATAGCAACTATATTCGGACTACCAGGAGCTCAGCAGTTCAAGGTATGACATTACATTTGCTGTTTATAACTTTGCTATCATTGGCATAGGTCTTCAAACTCTTCATACCATGTAAAAATATTCCTATAATTGATTTCACCACCTTGCTGGGTTCTGATTAAAACTTATAGAGGTTTTTCTACCTTCTAAAGCTTCAAGAAAGGTCTTGAGATTGTATCTCTATGTTCTCTTGCTCAGTGGCGGAGCTGAACCTGGGCCCACACGGGCCTAGGCCCGGGCATCAAAGCTCTGTAATGAGATTCATTAGATGCAATGTAAACAATTTCTTGCCCAAAGTTTAGATAAAGCTAACCACAAGCCTCACCAGAGTACTAACAAGTACATACAGGTGTATATAAGGATAAGGAATTAGCAAGCATTTTCAAGTAAAATACCCAAAGAAAAAGTATTATAATTAAAAAGCATCTATGGAAAAAGCTAAAAACAGGACACACCCACATCCGGGCCCGGGCATCAGCTTAGTTCCAGCTCCGCCACTGCTCTTGCTGTTAGAAAGCTTATAACTTTTGTCCTATGTGTAAGCCGCCATTTTGTTTGCCATGACCACACCCACTTACGTAAAGGAGCGTGGGCGGGTGGTTGCTAAGGCTTATGAATTTTGTTATTTCTCCAATACAACATGTATAGAAGAAATGTAAGTGTGGACATACAATATGTGTATTATATATCATACTAAACTGAGGTCTATATACAAAAATAGACCACCTGCCATGGGTGTCCAAGGATGTGATATATCCCGAGGGCCGCAGGCCCAAGGGCTATATCACATCCGAGGACACCTACCAAAGGTCTATATCTTTTGTATATAGACCAGTTCTAGTATGTTATATAGGATATATTTCATAATGATGACAGCATTTCTGAATGGCAGGTTTATATACAAAAATATAAACCCGACCACATCAAAGGATGATGTCATAATTATGATATATATATATACAAACATCGCACGTGGGTGAAATCAATTATAGGAACGACCTGGGGGCTACGCCCCCAGGTCGTTAAAAACATCACAGATTTTGAATATTAAGTTTAAATTTAATTTAAAATTAATTAACTAGTAGATAATATTACGTCACAGCTTGTAATGGATATCATTATTACAGCTGAACCATGAGTGATACCAGGACTGATCGTGACTGACAGATCAGTGTTTATCAGGAAAATTACCTAAAATCCTCGGTCCAGGAATGACAGATCAGGTGTGACCCAGTACTGAATCTTCCCTGGTCCAGGCTGGTAATATTTAGGCATGTAAAGCAAGGTAGAGACAATTACCATGATTTATTGCTTTTAATGGACCTCTTGGTGCTAAACGTATTTATAAATAAACCGTATCAAGGGGTTTACAATAAAGAAAAATCTAGTATACTTTCTGAAAAATCAAAAAATCTAGTAAAAGAATCCAATAATCCAATAAAAATCTAATAATCCACAGAGATCCACCAGTAATTTAGAAAATGCTAGCAGTAATCCAAAAAATCTATGCAAGAATCCAAAGAAATCCAGTAACAATATTAGATTTACTGTCTGTGATTTATTAACCATTCAAAATAGATACTTATCTGTTACCCCCCAAACCTTCATTCACCACTATGGCGGAGATGCTAGTATTGGGTGATTATTCGATTTTACAATATAATCATGATTATTATTGTTATGATTAATCACACCGCAATATTTTTTTCAAAAATGATTATCATTTTGCACGATTAACCGCAATTATTAATAATAATAAATTATTGTAATTAATTATCACTACCACGTGACAGACTGACATTTAGCTTAGCAGGTGGTGAGAAATGGCGTCATCCTCTAGCTGTTCATCAAGCTCTTCTGCTTGCTCTTCTATAAATGAAATCGAGATGGTCGGTGGTACGACTCTTGCTGAAAAGAAGAAAACAAAGAGCAAGGCCTGGATCTACTTTGGACTGAGAGTTGACGAGAACATGCAAGTGATAGAGGCAAGCCAGCATCATCCAGTTTATAGAAAGTGTGGGGCAGTTGTTCGAGCAAAAGATGGTAACACATCTAACATCTCTCAACATCTGCATGATGCTGATCTATTTGCTACTATTTCAACTGAATGCCACAGTGGAACTTGTGAGCGCACAAAGACACAACTAACGCTTGAGAGCTCAATAGTAAGGGTAACTAAGTACCCTCGAGGTAGTCCACAAGCCAAAGAGCTTACTCATGCCATAACTTACTTCTTAGCCAAAGTTGCTATGCCACTATATACAGTGGAAAAGCAAGGATTTCAACACGATATCGAAACTTGACCCAAGATATGATATTCCTTCTAAAAAGCTATTTTCATCTCAAGAAATTCTAGCTCTCTACCTACGGGTAAGAAACGATATAATCGAGCAGCTTAAGCAAGTGAAATACTATGCTATAACAACAGATTTGTGGACAAGTGGTTCATGTGAACTATATATTACTCTTACTGTCCACTATATTGATGGCGAATGGAGTCTGGAATTGAAGTGTCTTGACACTGTTGCCTTGTTTGCTGATCACACTGGTGATAATATTGCCAACTGTGTCACTGATATCATAGATATACGACTGTTAGAGGGATTGGAGACTCTTGGCAATTAGCACAATTAGTGCCTACCATCCGTGTTTGCCTTAAGTCACACCCCTTCACAATGGCAGCTATCATGATCCTTTCAAGAAACTACTCCAAATGCTATAAGGTCTACAAATAAGCATTGAATACTACAATAGATAATGATATTGACAGATAATTAAAATTTGTGTTCTATAAGTGCCTTTGAAGCATCATATCTCCTATATTCATGATTCTTTTAAACAAAAACCTCAGTTTTATCCTTCCATTTGCAGACCTATAAATACCAAATTAAATATTACATCAACTTAAAACTGGCATTGCCAAATATTTCATCATAGTAGCTCTCCATTAATGAAAGTCTTACAACCATTCATGATTCTAGTAAGCTGGTTCAGTCCCACAAAGTCAACAAGTGGAAAATACCCTTTAGGCTCTACTGTTGCAGTATCTTCATCTGTAGGCACTTATAAAGGACCCAGTCAACTACTTTAAACCTTTACCTAACTG